TTTGATCTCGTGAGCTGTTGCATATGATAAGCTATTGGTTTGCTTTTATTTTCCGCCTTAAGTTAAGGCCTCATCTTAACTCTCATGAGTAAGAAGTCCGTTTTTCGGTGATTGTGCTTTAGTAAGTTAAGGTGATCGGGTTTCGAACGTGGCTAGTTCAACCGAACTGCTCACAGAAATGTGAGTTGAACTTCTTTATCTGTTCAATTTAGTCCCAGATTAGGATTTCGCATCAGCTGTATGCATCATTCTCTTCACTAACTATTGTATTTCTCTGATTTACATTGCGGTTTCTGTGAGGACTGAACATGTGCTTAAACTTCTTTGTCCATAATTTAGTATTAAATTGAACTATATGTGGCCTGAAGTTCCCAGTTGATATACTTGCTTTTAACCTGCACGGCTTCAAACAACATTGCGGCTGCAGTCCTTTTTGATGTTCTTCTGTTTTTGCTGTTTAGCCTCTTCAAGAGGCTTGCATTTTGGTACAGCCATGACAGTATTCCAGCAAGTTTAATGTTATAATTCCGAGAGCTGTTTATTGGTGTCACAAACAGCCACTTTGGTACTCTCCTCGATAACGGCTCGATTGTGTCCTCTCGGTTGTTTTATTGCAATAAAATTATTTTCCACTTGTAAGTGATAAAAATTTTCGCTTAAGAGCATTGGGAGTTTCGTACATCCCCAATTTTATCCCTAAAGTAGCATAATGCAAATTCAAAATTTATCAGTCTCCAACTTATTTTGCTATTAAATCATATAGGGGCTCGAAATTACGTGGATCTGAATTCTGTTGGCAGTGGAGAAAATACGACCTTCTTTCAAAAAGCAAGCTTTATAATAATATATCGATATAAATAGTCGCTTTTCACTTACGAAAAACTCGTTCGTTCCTTTGTTAACCAAGGTTTCGTGGCTTCACACTATTGTTCATTTATACGTGAGGAATCTGAAAAACGGATTTGGTGTGCAGGTTCTGTTCACTGGAGGAACTTAAACAGACAGTCTGACATCAGAGGCCTGAATATTCGTGAAACGTTTTACTCCTCCGACAGAAAACGGTGCTGACGCCCGTCGGGCCATTCAGCAACGCAACCTTGCCCTTATTCGCAGCCTATGTAACTATTGGCACCACCAAATTGTTGGAGCACTCTGGGACCTACCCACTCACATTCTCCTCTTTTCGCCATTCGGACGCAACCAAGTTCATTCTCTTGATTCTTTTTGCATTTGTCTCAGTTTACAAACTTTGCATCTCAATTTTCACACTTTCTGCCACTTTGCTAAAGCCATTCTATTTCCCCATTTTATAGTTCATCTCACTCTGAAGCCCTCAGTACTTGAGTATGTCAGCTGGGATATACATGTCTATATACCTGTCTCCATCAGATTTTTTTCTCCGGTAGCTGCTTCTCGCTAACAGAAGACACATGACCATATTAAATCACACTCGATTTCTGTGTAACCTAATTCAAAAAGGATGTGGATTAGTATCGTTCCCACTTTTTGGATTGCAATTTTGTTGTGCTTGAAAATGTGAAACTGGTGCGGGTTGCATCTTTGAACTTCCTAGTTTATTATCAAGTTCTTCTTCAGCTTGGATTGAACCAGTTGTGTTCGTATTTATCATCAATCGTCATTGCTGTCACAGCGATCTCTTATAGCTTCTCTTTAGCAGATTCGAGTATGTTCTTTATGCAGGCAGTTATTGGTACTGCTTTCAGACTTCTGAGCTCCTAAAACATTATGCTGGGATACAGTTTTAAATTGTTGGACTGCTAAATCAATTGTGCATATTAGATCTGTTTTATTCTGTAGATTTGTTATTTGTGAAACCCGCTCCTCCTGGTCTCCGGCTTCGTTAGCCATTAACCTTATTTGTCGGTTGTTTCGTGATGCCTTCGGCCCTATTAATATCCCAGGCGGGTTGGAACAAAGTTATTTGATTTATACTAGGCGCTACAATTTACTGTTCAAAATGAACGTTCCAATAACGCAATTAATTACATAGAGGTAAAGATGGTATTACTCGCTTCATGTCCTTAACGGGGAATAATTCGTCCATATTCAAGTATTTTGTTCAAATTCATAGCCACACAATTGTCAGTAATATTGCAGAAGTCGGATTATCTTCAGCAAGCATGGAATTATGTGAGGTCCAGTTTTTTTTAATTTCAGTTCACGGATTCTCAGGATGCTTCGAGTTGCAGTCAGCAGACCCGTTTTGCTACGGAATGTGACATCTGCCTATCAGCCTCATCGGCACGGCTTCACCAAAGCAAATCATGCAGGTAGACGCCACGGCGAAAACAGGTTTGAGGACCTCATCCGATGGTGGATCCGTCTAAAGCCCTGGCAGGAGGAAGTAGCGACGCTCAAGCGGCGTCTACGACGTCACAAAGCCGGTTTTGATGTGAGCTCTCAGTAATGGGTTAAGTTTCGATGTGGAATCCGCTTTAAATTGTGTTGGGCTGCCTATATTTACCCACTTCAAGTCTTTCAGAATTTTTAAACTCGCCTTTAAGAATGGTGAATGATCAGCCAAATTTGATTTTATTACTTGAACTTTCAAAGAATCTTTGTGAACACTTGAATATTAGCAATATGCAATGTTTTGTCTGTGATGCTTTCTCTTGGGATGTCTGCATTGTCGTCTTGGTGGTATCCTTGGTTATTTGGTTGGGACCTGGATTATAACACATTTTAGCAGAAATCTGAGATTTCGCTAAGAAACCCAGATGTCCTGAACTACATCTATGAAATTCTAATCTTCAAATGTAAAGTTCTTGTTGGCATGTTATCACCTGCTATGAACTTATTTTTACGGTTCTGAATTTTGGTTGCAATAAAGCTTGGCACTACGATATTTTTTCTTATTTTTTTATTTATTGTATATTGGCTTCTCTTGTGTGACCCCAATTTTTGCGCCTTGCGTAGCTTTTCTGAGAGTTTGAGGTACTGGTAAAGCCGCTGACTTTGACATCTCCGAAACTAGAGTGTATAGAAATGCGGCGCGTGTTTTGACTTCTGAGAGAACTGTTTCCTCGTCTGGCTAGCAATTTCCCAGCTTTTATTTGATGTTTCTGGGGGGTCTGGATGATCTCCATGAAAAGCGCTAAACGTGCTGTTATAACAGTTTGCAAAACTTCTTTCCCCTTTTCCACTTAGAAAAATTCAACTTTTCTTGGCCATTCTTACATCTTTCAAAATTTTATATGTTTCTAATTCATCGATCCTCTTTAGATTAGGTTTTTTAAGTTTCGAGCTCATTAGTACCAGATTTGGCAAACAGTTTTAGCCATCCTTCATTGTTTTGTATGCCAGTTCAAACGGAAAGTATTGACGCCTTTGTTCAACTGCTGTAGCGAAGGTAGATGCTACTGCATTTAAGTTTTCAGCCCTTAAAGGAAAGGGTGGAGAAAATTGAATGCCTCCTTTTTGCGGCTCTCGTGGCTTTGTTGTCGAAGTTCATATTGTCATGACACTTATTTAAACAGTAAATGTGAGCAGTGGCGAACAGGTGTGACAGTTTCTCTTTACACCTCTTTTAATGCAACGTTCGGTTAGGCTTAACTACGATCTATGCTAATTCCTTAAATGAACTTTTAATTTTGGAACTTACCGGCGTCTTAATGAAAAATGGGGAGTACACCAAGAATACCACTGTCTTTTGAAAAAAAACCATTTGGTGTTACTTTGGATAAAATCTGCATTTTTCATTGTTTATCCATGAATCCGATTTATACCCTTTTAAGTTTCCAGCGAAAGCGACTATTTAGGACAAATGATACCTTAATAGACCCTGAAGTCTGTACTGCATCGATGGTGTCTCCACTTAGTTTATTTTTGCAACTTACCGCCTTTGATAGAAAACTCTTTAGACTGAGGCTTGCGCACCGTATTTTGTGCCTATGTTTTATCAATTTGGGACAGTTTAAACGTTTTATTTTCAATGGATCTGAACCGATCATTTTTATTCAGTGTTCTAGCCAAAGCAATGTGCGTATACGCATTTCTTTATTTCTAGCCGAACGTTCATGGTCAGACTCGCTACCTTGTGCGGTTTCCCCAACTAACTGATTCTGACTTCGAACAGTGGAAAGTCTTTACCGACGCGGACTTCGACGAGGGCTACTCCACTGCAGAGTTTGTGCGTTCGCCTCGCGGAGCTGTCGGTTCCACCGCTTTCGATCACGAGGTCACTGAATCTTTTGCGCCAAAGACCTTTCGTGACTCTCAGAACCCCCTTACCCCTAGCGAAAAGGATGAACACCCCTTCTCAATTATGTATTCTGCCGACGAGTGAGTTGGAATTACTTTTAATGCGTTCCCTGCTTTTGACGGGCATCGTCTTGCCCATTAATTTCTAATTTGTCTGAAAATTATTCTCCTGTGTTGATTGGATTTAAATGATTGTCTCTTCATCCCCTCTGTGAGATCCCGACTAGTCTTGAAGATACTTGTTGTTCAGGTAGTAGAACTGAATGATTTCATGAGAACTAAACACTAACAAAATAAATTGAGGATATGATGAGTGGATTGAGAATTAAAGGAAGGAGCTTTTGAGCTTTTTAGCTCAAACTTAACGAAGGTATTCGATTTATTGCGTGGGCATAAGGGATCGGCTTTTCTATCCTTTTCTATTTTTGTGGACAACTTGATGGATCTAACTAACTTTTCTAACCATTCTTCTGCCCTTCATTTAAGGACACCTTTTCTGCTTGTTGCTGTTAGTTGACGAGAAGTAACCAAGGTGTCGTTTCAGTTTGTCGACGATGATGGCGAATGTCAGAATCAATTAGTGCATTTAATGTTTTATTCTGTTTCCCTTTTTTACAACTGACAGATTTTTTGAACTCAAGTTAGCTTCAGAACTTGCGTTACAGCAAATTTTCCATGATTCCTATTTTTCACCCGTTAGATTCCTGAACCAAGGGTCATCATCACTTTTAAGAGTTTAAAACAAATTGCCTTTTGGTTTGACTCACATACGGGCGCTTGAACTCTAATTGCTTGTAAAATTCGCTATTGGCTTGTGGTAGTTTATTCAGGGTCCGTAAATCGCGTTTTATGTCTCCGTCTTCCTTTTTCCCCAACGCACTTTGTCAATTCTTTATTCCTTTATGGCATATTGTCAAGTCGACTATAAAATAAACGTAACAGACGGTTGACCTCGTCGCATCACCCCAAGGCAGATATTGATCTTGCTGCCACCTGGGTCATGTATGTGGATTTATAATAGTCGGGGTTAATCCACTCGTTTCTGGCACCATTGTTGTTTTCTATTACGAATGTCACCTTGTGATACGCATTCGAAAATTGTCTCCAAATTTTAGGAATCTAAATTTGCCTCTTATGTTTTGGGTGAAGCAGTTACTGCAACGTAAAGGCAACCATTTGTAAAGCATAGTCTTTCGAATTCCTTTGACATCTCCAAGGTATTTTCCTGACCCGACCGCATGAGTCATCTCCTAACGTCCACATAATCGAAAACTTTTCTGTTGTTCATCCATTTGTCTTTTGTCTATAAGTAAGGGTATGTAAACTATGTCCGTTTCAGTGCCTCGAAAATTACCAACTGTTGATGATTTGTGGTTAAAGGGGCTATCAGAGCCAACCCGAATTGTTTGGATGGGAAACTGTGTTGTTGCAAATTCAATGGAACAAAGGGAAGGGGTGATGCTCAAGCTCAGTGGACAGCTAAGGCGAACAAGGTATTCAAAACCGTCTTATGTCTATTGAGTAGGAACGCCGATCCTTCATGTTCCCCTTCAAATAACATCGGTTTATAATGAAACTTTCAAATTTGTTTTCAATCAAAGTTGCATGACTCAACTTGTCCCTTGCCGTATGGCTATACTACCTAGTTTATTAATTACATCACGCTTTTGTCGTAGTTACCTTGCGTTCGAAGTTTTGGGGATTTCGTTTGCTTAATGTTCATCCTGTGATCTACGAATTTGACCATTGTCTGATTTTAGTTAAGGCGAATTCATGGCTAATGATTTTCTACAAAGACTGAAATGACTTGCACTGTGACGTCAAGATGATTAATCCAGTAGCGTTCCAAAATTAGATCACTTCTTCTGATGGTACTTTCTATGATTCATCCTTACGGAAGCACTTTGTATTTGTGGTCTCTTTTTTCTGGTCGTTAATTCATTTATAAGCGTTTTAACTGACGTTTTTTTGTAAATTTGTTTAAAATAATCCATTGTATATCAAGCCTTTGGCTTTTACAGTCAAGACAACAAACGTGGCCTTTTGAAGTTGTTAATTTTTTTGGACTACTTTTCGATCTCTCCGCTAGGCGGCTGTCTATTTTTCTATACCAACAATAGTAACAAATGATTGGAATGGGATTATTGTGTTTGATGGTCGCATGATGAGTAGCTGAGGCCATCGTGTTAACGTTACGCCAATGAGTACTTAAATCATTTTTCAAGCGGCCTCGGAAGAGGTTGAACAGGTGTAGGTGCAGTTTGTTTGTCTTTATCGAAGCGTTCGAATTTTTCTAGTGTTTCTAGTTACTTGCGAAATCATCAGGCTTTCCACCCCTAGTATAACTTATGCTTAACCGCGTTATACTGCGATTATCGATGTTTGTTTCTTACTATTAGTTTTACAAACGCGATTTTGATTAAGCTCCATAATTCATACCAAAAGTTGTCGTTTCTTATGTATTGTCCTTTCAATGATCCACATTATGTCATCACCGTAGATTAATTCGTCTTCTCCTTCCTTCGTCTTTACGAAACTTTCGCCTTTTGGCTGAGGCGAAATCTGAATAGCCTTACGTCCACGATCGTGAAATGATGTACCATTTCTTTGGGATTTTTCTGCATATTTCCTTAGTCACGATCCTATTATTGTGATGCACAGAAAATTGTGCCTAGGTATGGTAGATATTTGGCGAAAAACGAAGACAACGATGCCCATGTGCTCCTCCCAATCGAAAAGTTTGGTAGGTATTCAAATGCGCAGAAGACGTTTTCGCTCAGTTTCACGGATTGGTTCACTTGATGCACGCACGAGCCATGAACTACCGCCTTAGCTGAAGACCAGGAGGCTAACTTGAATACGTGCTAAATTTTGTCTGTGTAGGAAATGTGCACGCATTTATCTCCTCGGACAATTATTGGTGGACTCGCTCAGCCAGTAAAGCAGCAGTACCACGTAGGCTACTTTTTTGTAAAGTGGATAGCTTGCAGTCAACTTCGAGTATATGTTTCGATTTGAATGCTTGATCGGATGCTACTTCGATACCCGATTAGTTTCATAAAGCACTTGCCAACATAACACCGAGAACTATATTGTATGCTGAACATTTCTCACTTCCTTCGTGGAGCTTCATTTTTATCTTCGAGAATATAGATAATAATCCTTGGTGTCATCTGAACTAAGGATTTTAATTCTTTTAAATTATTTTTTGTTTTTAACTCCTTTTAAATGCAAAGCCCCGCTGCTATTGCTTGAAGGAAGGGTAATAAATTCTATCAAAGCTTGCAAACGCATTCCATTTTAGTTGCTAGTTCCAATTTGAATTGGTTGTAAGATTGTTTCTGCTTAACCTTCGATAAAATTTATTCTCTTGAATCTTTGCTTTTTAGAATAGTATGCTCTTTCGTACCCTTCTTCTAAGTATGAAATTCGGTGGCACTCTTATTTAAGTAGTATATAGTTTCAAAAAATTAATTGTTGGATAACTTTCAACGTATGTTACTTCATTTTCATTTTAAAGATGTCTCTTGCTTCTTTGATAAGTCTTTCTCGCAAGGGCAATTAGCTTTGTTGGATTTCTGCTTCAAGGGGTGGGGTTGTTTGAATTTGCTCATTTGTGTGATTTTTTCCTTGATGTAACGATTCAGACACTTGATATGCTACCTGGTAGGTAACTCAGTCAATATAGTTGGTTACAAAAGTATTGGTACTATTTGTTCTTCTAATTATTCCGTTCTGATTTTTATAGCTTGGTCATTTGTCAGAGAGAAAAAGGATTATGCTTCGGAGTTTGCCATTTTAAATTCAAACCGATCTTCTTACGGTGTTTATTTTTTAGTTCATTCCGACCCGAATGACTGTCTAGCCTACTGCGACGCATGTCTCTTTGAATGGGCTTGTTTTTGAGAGCTTACAACTCATCCTGACTAATTGCATACCAGTGCGAATACTCTGCACTGTAACTTTCGAAGTTAGGCGCTTCTTCTTTCTCTTACCATCTTAATCATTACAGATTTGGCTTTGATATTCTGTACTTACATTAATTTCCTTACACTAAATTAGTTTCAAAGCAGAAAATTGATTTACGAAAACTGAAAATACCAGTAACGTAATGGCATTTTTCTTTTGCAGACCGAAGCGCCTGCCGGACCCAGCCAGTCCAGAGTCTTATGTACGTTCAACGTTGTTTTCATTAGACCCACCCCGAGAGTGTTTCAATGCAGGGTACGGGCTCTTTCGCGGCAACATCAGCACCCGAGTGCCGGAACGTGGTGACCTTGTGCGCTCTGGCTTTGCCCATCTCCGATCGCCTGAGCACACCCAGTTTGGCTTCCTCATGGAGTACAATTTCTATCCCTACACCCATCTAATCATTCGGTGGGTTTGCAATACCGTTAATTTCCCTCCTTCGGACTACCACCGTTGTCAACACTATAACTGCTGCCATGTTCCTTAAGTTTAGCAACTAGACGATTGCCATCGAGCTAATAACACATACACACTTTAGTCCTTAATGGATGCACACTGAGACTTCGAGTTTGACAGACTTGAATACATAATGTGAGTATTGGCTCAGTTTTTTTGACCATCTTCCTCCACTTATATTCCAACCAAGTTCAGGTGCTCATCGAATGATGTACTATTTGCAGAGATGTGAGATTTTGTATGGTTGCGGGATTTTTTCTCGCTTATAAACAGTTCGATTCCACATGTGCTTGTTTCAATGTGAGCTCTGCGGGGTCGATTAGTGACCTCACCAGGTCATCACGTTTATCGCATATGGGGTTCGCGTTTCCGTTGGACATCTGCAATATGTGATTCTGAGTCCTGTAAATAGATTATTTTCTATCTCGGTGGTTTTATGTAGACTCCTCTTTTCGTTTTTGGAAGTTATTTTCTCCTGTTTATGCTGCTATCATTGACTTGGTACGTCTAATTTGAAATCATAAACGATTATTCGTCCAGTAAGGTCGCGGCGGTGATGGAGAACAGGTGTGAGGAATTTGTGATACCGCATCCAGTCTATATATTTATATCCATGTTCATTCCTCCAAAAAGGCCGAGATTTTTGTTTTAGACAGAATCTTGTTTTTGGGCGTAAGCTCTAATTGGTTGGGTAGTCTGATCGCGAACTTTGAAATAAGTACTTGAATGACCGTTTTCAAGACTTTATTAGTAAATCAGTGCCGCGCGCTGTGCTGTCGTATCGCACGTCATGTGTCTTGCTTCAGCTATCGTGGTGACGGTCGTGCGTACCGGTTAAACATCCACCCGAAGACGGAATGGGACGCCTTCTGGTTCGACATGCACCAATTCCCCTTATACACACGCGGCGGTCCCTATTGGTGCATTTCGAAGTTGCCGCTCTCTGCCTTCTACCTGATTAGTCGGGGCACGGTGGTGGACCGGCAGCAACGCATCTCCCCCTCGCGGGTGCGCATGATCTCCTTCACTCTCGCTGATCGCCTGCCTGGACCTTTCGCCCTGGAAATTGACTACATTGCACTCTACTACGATCACTTCCACAAGGAACGCTTTGCCTACGAGCAGTACGATGCTCCTGCCATCGTTAAGTAAACGGTTACAGCCCTGATTGTGCTCTCAATTCCTCTTCTGTTTCCGAGCTACTGCTCTGTTGCCTTTGTAATGTAAATGGCGCTTGCCAGAACTGAAGCAATACCGTCCACGATACTTCCTTGTAATGGTAACTCCTGTTCTTCCATTTGTTAACAGGTCTTTTATGCTGTTACTTTAGCGATTGTCTGCTGTGGTCGTTTTATTCTCGTAGAGTCCCTTTGGGTATAGTGGAGCGTTTACCGGAAATTCGCGCAATTTATTTGAAATCAAGCCTTACTATGAATGAACGCTACTGATGTTAACTGACTCTATTGGATTTCCCGCGTTTGCAATGCCTATCCTCACGTAGGTGTGTTGGCGTGTGTTTGATACCTTGGATTTGTTCTTATGCATCAGCGTTTTCTCGAATTCCATTTCTCTGATGGGTCCGACCGAAGGTTAACCGGCGTGAGTTGGTACTCGTTCTTTGCCCAACCAAGTTACGGATTCGCATTATTGCTTCACTTCATTTTGTTTCTCAACTTTTCCTTTTGTGAGCGCATTGATGCGGAACTATAGGATTGGAAATTCGGTTCATTCTTTGACGTTGGTGGACACTTATTATGTGCGGAATGTAGGATTAATTGGAAACTGCTTTTCTATATGTTTTGCA